TTTTGTGATACATTTTGGAACTATTTTGTTATTTGTATGTATATAATATATGATACATGGATTTTCAAATTGAGAAAAATGCCTAGATGCTGGTGCCAGAAGGCAATGGCTCATGGGCCAAACTGGTAAGTCTTTCTACTGGTGTATATCATCCCTATATCCCTAGTATCTGTCTGTTGGACATCCACAGGTAATAAGATACTGCCTCTCTTGGCACTCGGTGGCGGGTGGGTAGTAGGGATGACGAAACTTTATTTATACAATCATGGCGTTTCAAACCCCCCTTAAAAATCAAAGCGAACACTTGAAAACGATTCTGAGACTGATGATGTTTCTCTCAATTCGAAATCAGTGGAGTACTGGCCTAGATTCCTGGTGCTGGAAACACCCGATAAGACCCCAATTAAACTGAACCCTTTTGCTGTTGCTACGGGCATTCAAGGGATAGCGGGTGATGTAAAAAACAGGATCAATCCTTATTGAATGTGTTAAAAGACAACAAGCCACAAACTTGCTGTCAATTGATGAACTTGTTGGAGTCCCTGTTTATGTTTCTCCACACAGATCTCTCAATACCAACAGAGGGATCATAAGAGATCGGGACACACTCTTGGAAGATATGACAGAACTGGATATTGTTTATGAAATGAAAGAACAGGGAGTAACCTTTGTGAAAAGGTTTACCAGACGTCAAGGTACAGAAACAATTCCAACAAATACGTACCTTTTTTCATTTTCATCCCCAGCAGCACCCAGATGAGTCAAAGCAGGTTATTGTAAAATTGATGTTGAAATCTATATCCCAAAGCCATTGAGATGTTTTAAATGTCACAATTTCGGCCATGGTGTAAATTCCTGCAAAAATAATATCATATGTGCGCACTGTAGTGAAACTACTCATGTCACTGAAGATTGTAAGAGTGATTTCAAAAGGTGTAAGAACTGAACTCTTTCTCAATAAATCGTGTCCAGTCTTGAAAAGAGAAATGGAAATCAACAAACTAAAATGCACAAGAAACATCACTTATATGGAAGCAAAGAAACTTGTGCCAAGTAATGAACAGACTGAGACGTATGCATCTGTGACCAAAACAATGTCAGACAGATTTGACATGGGTGAATTCCATTAACCCAAAGCCAATCGTACCATCTGATTCTGCTACCCAGACCGCTGTTCAAATTCCAGACACTGATTCTTCACCTTCTATGACAACTAAACCACCCTCTGTGGCAACTAAACCACCTTCCGTGGCACATAAAACACCTTCACGGTCAGACTTAAATCATCAACCGTCACCAAAAGCACCGGTACCTTCTGGAAAAGGACAAACTGTTAAAACAAGGTATAAAACAGATTCAACAATTTCGCGTTCAAGTCAACATGGTAGACAAGTTAAAGGATCAGATGATCCAATCAAACTGTATAACAAGTTTGGATCACTTGAAGAGATGGATGTCTCTGAAAACATCCATTGTAGAACTGCTAGTTTGTCGCCTAAAAAATGGGCGAGGGAGATGTCCGGTTAATCCGCCAAAAAGATGAATAGTTCTCAACCTTTGATTCAGTGGAATTGTAGATGATTTAAAGCAAATTTTAATGATTCACAATTATTTGTCCAAGACTATAAACCACCAGCATTCTGTCTGCAGGAAACATATTTAAAGCAGACAGACCAAATTAACTTACGTCAGTACAACTCATATCATTATCAACTGTTAAAACATTTACCAGATACTTGTCTTGAAGTGCTATTATGTATCTTTGACAATATATGGACTACTGGGAATTTCCCTTCTTCATGGCGGAATGCTGTCGTCATTCCTATACCTAAACCTGGCCGGGATCATACAGATCTCTTACCAGCTGTTTATGTAAGACCATGGAGAGAATGGTCAATAACCGACTGATATGGTACTTGGAAACAAATAATCTTCTAACAAATATTCAGTGTGGTTTTAGAAAAAATAGAAGAACCATAGATCATTTTGTTAGATTGGAAACGTTCGCAAAGGATGCTATCATCAAGAAACAACATGCTGTATCAATATTTTTCGATTTAGAATAAGCGTATAATACGACCTGGAAGTATGGAATTTTAAAAGAGCTTCATGAAATGGGATTAAGAGGCATTTTGTCTCAATTTATATCTCAGTTTTTAACAGATCGGCAGTTCCAGGTACGTGTGGGTTCCACCATGTCTGATATGTATGATCAAGACCAAGGTGTACCACAAGGTAGCATATATCTGTAACGTTATTCAGTATAAAAATAAACAGCTTATCTAAAGTTTTAAATGAATCCATTGATGGTTCATTATTTGTTGATGATTTTAATGTGTCATGTCGAGGTAAAAATGTACACACGATTGAGAGACAATTGCAATTATGCCTCAATAAAATTAATGATTGGTCAGAACGAAATGGTTTTAAGTTTTCAAAAACTAAAACTAATTGCATTCATTTCTGTCGGAACTATAAGCCGCACAGAGACCCAGAATTAACATTAAAATTGTAAAGGAAGCTAAATTTCTGGGAATAATATTTGACCATAATCTTACTTTCTTACCACATATTAAATCTCTGAGAGCTAAATGTCTGAAGGCACTTGATTTATTAAAGGTTGTTTCAAACTCCAAGTGGGGAGGGGACCAGTCAACCCTCCTTCACTTATACAGATCACTCGTCCGTTCTAAACTCGTTATGGATCCATCATTTATGGTGGAGCCTGCAAGTGCAATCCTGAATTATAAGATTCTGTTCATCACCAAGGTCTCAGACTTTGTGTTGGATCTTTCCGAACTTCTCCTATTGACAGTCTTTCTGTAGAGGCTGATGAGCCATCACTCAAACAACGCCGTATAAAATTATCGTTACAATATGTCACAAAACTATATTCTAGTGAGTCTAACCCTGCATATAACTGTGTTTTTAATCCTCTTTATGAGGATCTGTACAATAAAAAGTCTTCTCTTGTTCCGCCTCATGGGCTCAGAATTAAACCATTCATTTCTGCTGCCGGCATTGAGCTGCAAAACATATCTCCTTAGCGTCTTCTTTCTTCTCCTCCTTGGCAACTGGTGAGGCCTGAAGTTGACCTAACTATGACAAATTTTAAGAAATCAGAAACGAATGAATTACAATATAAACAGGAATATAATCAATTAAAAATTAAATATAATACATACAAGTCCTTATTTACAGATGGGTCCAACGATGGTGGCGCAGTAGCTTGTGCCACTGTTATTGGATCAAAAATAATATCTTCTAGATTACCTGGCAACAGCTCTATTTTCACAGCGGAAGCTAATGCCATACTCACAGTTCTTAAATATATTAATAAAAAACCTAAATATAAACAATACATAATATTTTCAGATTCTCTTTCTTGCCTTCAGGTGATTGAAAAAACATCCACTTTTAATTGAAATCGTTGAATTATATAATGATCTTGCTACTGGCCAATGCGACATCGTCTTTTGTTGGTTACCCAGCCATGTGGGAGAATCTCTGGTACCACAATGGCGGATTTCGCTGCTAAGGCAGCACTCAATAAATCTGTGACCCCACTTCTTATCCCATATTCTAATTATAAAGCCGTGATTAGATCATATATCCGAGATCTAATGCAAAAGAAGTAGGACGACCAAGTAGGTATCAATAAATTACACGAAATTAAATCGGTTACACCTACTTGGGTTGTCAGTCCAGGTTTGAGGAGGTCATCATGCGACGATGTCGCATTGGCCAGACAAGATATACACATGAATATTTATTGAAAGGTGAAGATCCTCCATTCTGTATCCCTTGTGATGAAAGAATCACGGTCAAGCGTGTCCTGCTTAACTGCATTGATTTTTCCATCACAAGGGATAAATATTTCAGTGTCAAAACACTGAAGGATCTTTTTTGTACTGTAAATTATCATTTAATACATGTTTTTTTTAAAGAAATATAATTCTTGCATAAATTAAATCTTGAATAATATGTTTGGTATATATTTAAATGGTATTTTAAGCATGGTAGTATGAATTAGCAACTGCGATTGTTAGTGGCTGTATCCTCAAAGGGGGTTAAAGTATTGTCCTCCTGAAAGGGTACGTACGTCCCAAATACTTTCAAAGTCAATTTCGCACAACCATACTTTTTAATCGTAGTATTTGTGTTATTTTAAAACTTTCGGCTAAATCTTCTTACATCACCAACATCTGAAGGGATGATGTAAATCCAGCTAGGGTCCATGCAGGTAGCAAAAGTAATGTAAGTCCCCATGTTCCTTGTATGGTGATCTACCTTCAGTTGTTAGCGATCTATAGCCCGTGTTTTATATTGTATTGTCTTCTTTAATTAAAATCTTTTAGTTTAACATGCTAGTTTTATGTTCAGATATGTGATATTCTAGTATTTTTACTGTCCATCGTCGACAGGTTTTACTCTCCAAAATGTTTTCATTTTTATTGTCTAAATTGTTTTCGTCACTATATGGCTGAGATATTGCCGATGTGACGTTAAATATTAATTCACTCACTCACCATTTTGGGGGTCTGGCTTCTAGACCAAATTCCTTGGTCAGCATCAATGACGATCCAGTAGATGTCACCACAAAGGAAAGTGGCCTGATACTTGGATTATTTGATCAAGACAGATCACCGGTTTGAGAGTGACTTTGCGTATATGTGTAAATTTGATCTCGTCGCTGGTTGGCTGAAATAATGCCGACGCAAGGTGAGACTTTGACTCAGAGTCAGATATGTCCTAGTGCGGTTCTAGCCAACAAACACGCTTACGAACATATGTCAGAATGTTCGTTACTTACAGCGTATGGCTCTGTGCATGAACTGAGAATTTGATAAGGGATGGAGAATTATAACGACTAAACGTATACCGTTTTGGACGTCGGTTGGATCTTTCACAGGTGCAATCTGCTGAAGGTGAATATGATGCAATTCCTGAAACGTGTAACACATGATGTCTGTAGTATATGGACAATTTGTACCTGACAGGGGGTCTTGTCTGCATCGTAATGAGGGAGGAATATCTGACCAGTGTCAAGGAGTACCGCGATAGACTGGAACCGCTGATGAAGAAACTGGAGGAGGATGGGAAACTGAAACAACTGTCTCGTGATGTTGTGTCTCGGTATTCCTTTGACAATAACGGAGTTGTCTATGAATTACTAGTTTGTTAATGAAAATAGTATTACAGTTTGGTACTACTGACCGAACTTGTTTTAACCTCGGTGCCTACTTCATCCTGAAAATCTTCTCCCTATCCTGAAGCTATAATTATGTAGCCGGTTTATACTTTCATGTCCTCTTGCGATGTATATTCAAATGAATTTACAGTGAACATCAAGTGTGCTGTTATGAAGCCATATAAACCTTTCTGAAATGGTATGTGTGTCATCGATCTCTGTACAGAGCTTGAAATAAAGACAAATATAGTCAGGTCATGTCTCAGCTTTTTTGTTCAAGTAATTCAGTGCGAATGATGATGAAGTATTGACGATCTCCTGCTGAGTAAACGCTTTGCACATTCTGGACAATATCAGTGCTAAATGAAAGACTACCGACTGTTTCAGCTGACAGAGACCCGTAAAGTTCCGTGTTAGAATTGATCTTCAGCAACCCATGCTTGTCGTAAGAGGCGAATACGGGATCGGGTGGTCAGGCTCGCTGACTTGCTTCACACATGTCATCAATCCAAATTGTGTAGATCGATATTCATGCTATTGATCACTGGATTGTTTGGTGTAGACTCGATTATTTACAGACCGCCGCCATATAGCTGGAATATTGCTAAGTGCGGCTATAAGTAAAACTAAAGTCACTCACTCACTCATGTAGAAAATATTCCAATATCACAGCAGCAACTACAGTTAAATTGCTGTCTTGGTTGGTTAATTGAACTGACTGAATGTTCAGGTGAGCTAGAATGAAGAATGAAGCCTAATAGTAATCACCAGATGGCTGAGGAAGACAAAGGCGTTGGCTCTGTCGGTCGTGTTATATTTCCCCAAACAAACGAGTTGACAAACAATCAACAATCAGTCAGTTAACAGGGTCTGAATGTTCACTCAGGCACATCAGACAATGGTTGTTTCTGGTGTTAACAAGACCTCATTTACATGTAACTCTTTGAGAGGCATTCAAGAAGTTTTAAGTAATAGGGAGACAAGACTTTATGGAGGATCAACGTTTTTATTGTACAATAGCGACGTTTCGGCATAGATACTTACACCGTTTCAGCAAATTGATACTCATAGAAAGGAATAAGGGAACACATGAAAGTACAAGTCTTCCTTTAATTATTTCCAGAATTTCACTCACAGTGCAATACATACCTTGTAAAGAAACCTGGAAAGTTTCCGAACTCGGTATACTACGTTTATAACGAACACGGATACTACGTTGATAATGAACACGAGATACTGCGTATATAACGAACACGGTATTCTACGTTGATAACGAACACGAGATACTACGTTTATAACGAACACGGTATACTACGTTTATAACGAACACGGGATACTACGTTTATAACGAACACGAGATACTACGTTTATAACGAACATGGTATACTACGTTTATAACGAACACGGTATACTACGTTTATAACGAACACGAGATATACTACGTTTATAACGAACACGGGGTATACTACGTTTATAACGAACACGAGATACTACGTTTATAACGAACACGGTATACGTTTACGTTTATAACGAACATGGTATACTACGTTTATAACGAACGTGGTATTCTACGTTTATAACGAACACGGTATACTACGTTTATAACGAACACGATACTACGTTTATAACGAACACGGTACTACGTTTATAACGTACTATATAACGAACACGGTATACGTTTATAACGAACACGGTATACTACGTTTATAACGAACACGGCATACGGTATACTACGTTTATAACGAACATGGTATACTATGTTTATAACGAACACGGTATACGTTTATAACGTTTATATAACGAACACGAACACGTTTATAACGAACACGGGGTACTACTACGAACACGGGATTTTTATAACGAACACGCTTATGCTACAGATATCATGAATTGTTTGGGGTTAAAACGACAAGCTACGGTTAAAACGGACTAAAATAGTTGTCCCTTTAAGTTTGATATAGCCGTAGTTTACTGTATATTGCAGGTGTTCGTTTGCGAACGACTATGAATTAGTAGGGGCTATCAGGTTTTTGCGAAAATGTCACCGTAGGGTTGGGAAGGGTGCCGAGGCAGACAAGTGGTTAACGTGTCACGCCGCAGGCCCGTGTTCGATTCCCCGAGTGGGTACAATATGTGAGGCCCATTTCTGGTTGCCCTGATCTTGCTGAAAAATTCCATACTCTTTTTTTTTTTAGTTCTGGAGGGTAACCAGTGGAATTAAATGTTCTACTTGATTGTTTAATGAAAGATCGGTATCGATATCGCTAAAACTTCAGTTCCAGTTCAGTGATGTGATGCAAATCTACAGTGTAATGATCACAATCACTCGGGGTTACACATACCTGACTTTTCAAAACGCATTTAATCGATGGACTCTCTTGTTAACAGAAAATTGTTTTCTGCTTGTTTGGTCAATGAATGTAAAGCACTTAAGCAGACATGACGGTTAATGTTTTTTTCTTAAATTAATTGGAAAATTTTCAAAGTATTAGCAGAGAATGAGATTGCTTGGGATAAAATCAATTGCTGATCTCATACAACGATGATTGTCAATCTAAAACCATACATATTTCATGTACCATTGGACTATTGTCAGACGGCGTTATCTGAATTGTAAAAGGTTATTGCAAGAAATACCCCATTTATCTCTCGTGTTGATTGTGGTCTTGGCAAGTATCCTTGTGTACAATACAAATATTCAATCATCTCACATCAAGCTCTGATATGCCATTGTGTACGAATGTAGTCAGAATGTCTTTGTCTGTATGGATATTCCATCCCTTAAGTATGAAGTTTAGGAAATTTAAGGAACGTTGCAGACTCATTTGATCAGAGAGCTGATAAACTTTCCGAGTGTTTCTTTCAAAATGGCCTGGATGTGTTATTCTAGGACATTAAGGAAGAATGTAAATGTGGCATGGCTAGTTCTTCTGGTTACGATACAACTGATGTTTGGTAAGTGTTCAGATTTCCACTTTGTCATTCCTGTCTTGTTGTAGATACCCATCTATCATTGTAGTTTGTCGTCAATGGATGCAAAACGGAGAATGATTCTCCTTTCAAGAGTGAGTGAATATGGTTTCACACCGCTTTTAGCAATATCAGAGAGGGGGACACCAGAAATGTTCTTCATACATTGTACCAATATAAGGGAATCGAATCTAGGTCGTCGTCGTGACCACTGAACGCCTTAACCACTAGGCTATCCCGCAGACACTCCTATCCATAATAACTACAGCTAATATATTAAATGTTTATAGTTGGTGTGACAATTAAACAGCAAATGTGAGATAAGATGAATTAGTGAATATGATAAGTACAAAATGTGTTTTTCAAATGCCGATGACGTAGGTTGAACACCCGGATGTACCTATCCTGAGCAGGGGTGGTCACTCGTGGTCGTCCACTTCTTAGGCGATCTCGCGTCGAATTGAATGCTGTATAACGGGCCCACAGACGAGATATTGTGCTTTGGTGGACGTTATAATGACGTGCAACGTCGTTCATTCCTCATCAATATTTGTGATACAATGGAGTAAATGTATCGGGCTTTTATAGTCATTGTCTCTACTGATGAATTCCACTCATTTCACGTGCATTGTGATCAACATGTGCGTTTTCATGCATTTTCTTCACAATTGCTAACAACGGTAACATGAAGTTGTTTTGGTTGTGTTGCGCGACATAACCATTAAAAATCACATACATCACATCATTCAAACATAAACATAGTCTTAATCATAGATTGCCGATATGAAAATGCAATAGAAAATCTCAATCCCCTGTGCGTTTCTTTTTTTGAAGACTGTATATAACTGAAGCTGTCATTTTTTAAGTGTGAAGCCCATTTCTGGTGTCCCCCGCCGTGATATTGCTGGAATATTGCTAAAATCGGCATAAAACTTAACTCACTCAATGGTTATAATTATGTTTGTCTAGAGTTGCATGTGTTCCTAAACTACTTCTTTCATCTATCTTCTATCCTTAGCTAACACCGTCACATCTACTTCTGCCGGCGCCACTACAACTTCAAATGGAGCTGACATCACCACGAGTTCCACAGTGGTTGATCCATTAACAACAGTCACGGACACGGCTGCTGACGTCACTACTGTTTCATTTCCAACAACCACAAGTTATCCAATCACATCCACTACCACATCAACTACCACATCTACTACCACAGTTGGTGCCAATACATCTACTACCACAGCTGACGCCATCACATCTACTACCGCAGTTGGTGCCAATACATCTACTACCACAGTTGACTCCATCACATCTACTACCACAGCTGACGCCATCACACCTACTACCGCAGCTGACGCTATAACTACCACCACAGCTGACGTCATCACATCTACCGCCACAGCTGGCACCATTACATCTACTACCAAACCTGGCACCATCACTTCTACTACTACAGCTGACGCTACAACTACTACCACACCTGGCACCATCACTTCTACTAATACAGCTGACGCTACAACTACTACCACACCTGACGCTACAACTACTACCACAGCTGACGGTACAACTACTACCACAGCCGACGCTACAACTACTACCACCCCTGACACCATCACTTCTACTACTACAGCAGACGCTACAACTACTACCACAGTTGACTCCATCACATCTACTACCACAGCTGACCCCATCACATTTACTATCGCAGCTGACGCTACAACTACTACCACAGCTGACGTCATCACATCTACCGCCACAGCTAGCACCAAAACATGACTCCATCACATCTTTCTACTACCACAACTGACGCCAACTATACACACCTGGACCATCACTTCGCAGCTGCCGACGCTACAACTACTACCACAGCTGACGTCTCACAACTACCGCCACAGCTAGCACCAAAACATCTACTACCACACCCGACACCATCATTTCTACTACTACAGCTGACGCTACAACTACTACCACACCTGACGCCATCACTTCTACTACAGCCTGACGCTACAACTACTACTACAACTGACGCTACAACTACTACCACACCTGACACCATCACTTTTCCTACTACAGCTGACGCATACACTTCTACTACCACACCTGACACCATCACTTCTACAACTACAGTGACGCTACAACTACTACCACACCTGACACCATCACTTCTACTACTACAGCTGACGCTACAACTACTACCACACCTGGCACCATCACTTCTACTACTACAGCCGACGCTACAACTACTACCACACCTGGCACCATCACTTCTACAACTACAGCCGACGCTACAACTACTACCACACCTGGCACCATCACTTCTACTACTACAGCCGACGCTACAACTACTACCACACCTGGCACCATTACTTACTACTACCACTGACGCCGACTACTACCAACACCATACTACCACACCGACGCTACAACTACTACCATCACTTCTACTACTATAGCTGACGCTACAACTACTACCACAGCCGACGCTACAACTACTACCACACCTGGCACCATCACTTCTACTACTATAGCTGACGCTAAAACTACTACTACAGCTGACGCTAAAACTACTACCACTCCTGGCACCATCACTTCTACTACTACAGCTGACGCTACAACTACTACCACAGCTGACGCCTGGCAACATCACTTCCACTACCAGGCTGACCATCAATTCTACTACTACAGCTGACGCTACAACTACTACCACAGCTGACGCTACAACTACTACCACAGCTGACGCTACAACTACTACCACACCCGACATCATCACTTCTACTACTACAGCTGACGCTACAACTACTACCACAGCTGACGCTACAACTACTACCACACCTGACATCACCACTTCTACTACTACAGCTGACGCTACAACTACTACCACACCTGACACCATCACTTCTACTACTACAGCTGACGCTACAACTACTACCACAGCCGTCCCTACAACTATTACCACACCTGACACCATCACTTCTACTATTACAGCTGACGCTACAACTACTACAACAGCTGACGCTACAACTACTACCACAGCCGACGCTACAACTACTACCACACCTGACACCACCACTTCTACTACTACAGCTGACGCTACAACTACTACCACAGCTGACGCTACAACTACTACCACACCTGGTACCATCACTTCTACTACTACAGCCGACGCTACAACTACTACCACACCTGACACCATCACTTCTACTACCACAGCTGACGCTACAACTACTACCAAACCTGACACCATCACTTCTACTACTACAGCCGACGCTACAACTACTACCACAGCTGACGCTACAACTACTACCACACCTGACATCACCACTTCTACTACTACAGCCGACGCTACAACTACTACCACACCTGGTACCATCACTTCTACTACTACAGCTGACGCTACAACTACTACCACACCTGACACCATCACTTCTACTACTACAGCTGACGCTACAACTACTACCACACCTGACGCCATCACATCTACTAACACAGGTGATGCCATCACATCTAATGCCACAGCTGACGCCAACACATCTACTACCACAGCTGATGCTACAACTACTACCACACCTGACACCATCACTTCTACCACTACAACTGACGCTACAACTACTACCACAGCCGACGCTACAACTTCTACCACACCTGATACCATCTCTTCTACCACTACAACTGACGCTACAACTACTACCGCACCTGACGCCATTACATCTACCGCCACAGCTGACGCCATCACATCTACTAACTCAGGTGACGCCATGAAATCTACCGCAACAGCTGACGCCATCACTTCTACTACCACAGCCTACGCTACAACTACTACTACACCTGCCACCATCACATCTACTACTACAGCTGACGCCAGCACAGCTGATGCCATCACATCTACTACCACCGTTGATTCTATCATATTAACAACTACAGCTGAAGTGGCAACTACTACCACAGCTGACGTTATAACTACTACCACAGCTGACGTCATCACATCTACTACCACAGCTGACGTCATCACATCTAATACTACAGCTAATGCTATCACATCTACTGCAAAAGCTCACGCTACAACATCTACTACCATAACTCCGGCCTCCACATCTACAACCTCACCTGATACCATCACGACTCCTATCACAGCTGATGCCATCACATCCGCTACAACTACTACCACACCTGACACCATCACTTCTACTTCTACAGCCGACGCTACAACTACTACCACACCTGACACCATCACTTCTACTACTACAGCTGACGCTAAAACTACTACCACACCTGACGCCATCACATCTACTAACACAGGTGACGCCATCACATCTAATGCCACAGCTGACGCCAACACATCTACTACCACAGCTGATGCTACAACTACTACCACACCTGACACCATCACTTCTACCACTACAACTGACGCTACAACTACTACCACACCTGGCACCATCACTTCTACTACTACAGCTGACGCTACAACTACTACCACACCTGGCACCATCACGTCTACAACTACAGCCGACGCTACAACTACTACCACACCTGGCACCATTACTTCTACTACCACAGCCGACGCTACAACTACTACCACACCTTGCACCATCACTTCTACTACTATAGCTGACGCTACAACTACTACCACAGCCGACGCTACAACTACTACCACACCTGGCACCATCACTTCTACTACTATAGCTGACGCTACAACTACTACTACAGCTGACGCTAAAACTACTACCACTCCTGGCACCATCACTTCTACTACTACAGCTGACGCTACAACTACTACCACAGCTGACGCTACAACTACTACCACTCCTGGCACCATCACTTCTACTACCACAGTTGACGCTACAACTACTACCACAGCTGACGCTACAACTACTACCACAGCTGACGCTACAACTACTACCACACCCTACATCATCACTTCTACTACTACAGCTGACGCTACAACTACTACCACAGCTGACGCTACAACTACTACCACACCTGACATCACCACTTCTACTACTACAGCTGACGCTACAACTACTACCACACCTGACACCATCACTTCTACTACTACAGCTGACGCTACAACTACTACCACAGCCGTCCCTACAACTATTACCACACCTGACACCATCACTTCTACTACTACAGCTGACGCTACAACTACTACTACAGCTGACGCTAAAACTACTACCACACCTGACGCTACAACTACTACCACACCTGACCCTACAACTACTACCACACCTGACGCCATCACTTCTTCTACTACAGCTGACGGTACAACTACTACCACACCTGGCACCATCACTTTTACTTCTACAGCTGACGCTACAACTACTACCACACCTGACACCATCACTTCTACTACTACAGCTGACGCTACAACTACTACTACACCTGACACCATCACTTCTACAACTACAGCTGACGCTACAACTACTACCACAGCCGTCGCTACAACTACAACCACACCTGGCACCATCACTTCTACTACTACAGCTGACGCTACAACTACTACCACAGCTGACGCTTCAACTACTACCACACCTGGCACCATCACATCTACCACCACAGCTGACGCCATCACATCTACCAACACAGGTGACGCCATCACATCCACCGCAACAGCTGACGCCATCACATCTACTACCAAAGCCTACGCTACAACTATTAACACACCTGCCACCATCACATCTACTAATACAGCCGACGCCAGCACAGCTGATGCCATCACATCTACTACCACCGTTGATTCTATCATATTAACAACTACAGCTGAAGCGGCAACTACTACCACAGCTGACGTTACAACTACTACCACAGCTGACGTCATCACATCTAATACTACAGCTAATGCTATCACATCTACTGCAAAAGCTCACGCTACAACATCTACTACCATAACTCCGGCCTCCACATCTACAACCACACCTGATACCATCACGACTCCTATCACAGCTGACGTCAGCACATCTGCTACCACAGCTGACACGGCAACTACTACCACAGCTGACGCCATCACAACCACTACAACAGCTGACGTCATCACATCTACTACCACAGCTGACACGGCAACTACTACCACAGCTGACGCCATCACATCTGCTACCACCGTTGACTCTATCACATCTACTACCACAGCTGACACGGCAACTACTAACAGAGCTGACGCCATCACGACTAATACCACAGCTGACGTCATCACATCTACTACCACAGCTGACACAACAACTACAGCTAACTCCACGACTTCTCCTACTGCTGACACCACAACTACAGTTAACACCACGAATACTCCTCCAGCTGAAACGACACCTACAGCTAATGCCACGACGTATCGTACAGCTGACACCAGTACTACAGCTAACACCATACCTACAGCTGACACCAGTACTACAACTAACGCCACGACTCCTACAGCTCACACAAGTACTACAGGTAACGCCATGACTTATTCAACTGCTGACACCACAACAACAGCTAACGCCATGACTTCTGCTACAGCTGACACTACAACTACAGCTAACGCCACGACGTCTCCAACTGCTGACACAACAACAACAGCTAACGCCATGACTTCTGCTACAGCTGACACTACAACTACAGCTAACGTCACGACGTCTCCTACAGCTGACACCACAACAACAGCTAACGCCATGACTTCTGCTACAGCTGACACTCCAACTACAGGTAACGCCACGACGTCTCCAACTGCTGACACCACAACTACAGCTAACTGTACGACGACAGCTACAGCTGAAACCAGTACTACAAATAATGCCACGACGTCTCCTACAGCTGACACCGGAACTACAGCTAACGCCACGACTACTGCTACAGCTGACACCAGTACTGCAACTAACGTCACGATTACTGCTACAGCTGACACCAGAACTACAACTAACGCCACGACTTCTTCCACAGCTGACTCCAGAACTACAACTAACGCCACGACTTCTTCCACAGCTGACACAAGAACTACAACTAACGCCACGACTCCTACAGCTCACACCAGTACTACAGCTAACGCCACGACGCCTCCTACAGCTGACACTAGAACTACAACTAACGCCACGACTTCTTCTACAGCTCACACCACAACTACAGGTAATCCCACCACTTCTCCTACAGCTGACACGAGTACTGCAGCTAATACCACGACGTCTGCTACAGCTGAAAGCACGACTACAGCTGACGCAACGATGTCTCCTACAGCTGACACCACAACTACAGCTAACGTTACAACCACTGCTACAGCTGAAACCACAACTACAGCTAACGCCACGACGTCTGCTACAGTTGCCACCAGTACTATAGCTAACGCCACGACGTCCCCTACAGCTCACACCAAAACTACAGCTAACGCCACGATGTCTCCTACAGCTGACACTAGTACTACGCCTAATGCCACGACGTCTCCTACAGCAGACTCCAGAACTACAGCTAACGCCGAGACTACTGCTACAGCTGACACCATAACTACAGCTAACGCCATGACTTCTCCAACTGCTGACACCACAACAACAGCTAACGCCATGACTTCTGCTACAGCTGACACTACAACTACAGCTAACGCCACGACGTCTCCAACTGCTGACACCACAACAGCTAACGCCATGACTTCTGCTACAGCTGACACTACAACTACAGCTACTCCACGAACTCCACGACTGCTGACACCGCAACTACTGCTGCTACAGCTGACACCGCAACTACAGCTAACGCCACGACTACTGCTACAGCTGACACCACACCTAAAGCTAATACCACGAGGTCTCCTACAGCTGACACCACAACTACAGCTAACGCCACGACTACTGCTACAGCTGTCAATAGAACTACCGCTAATGCCACCACTTCTCCAACTGCTGACATCACAACTACAGCTAACGTTACGACTACTGCTACAGCTGACACCAGAACTACAGCTAACGCCACGACGCCTGCTACCGCTGACACCAGTGCTGCAACTAACGTCACGATTACTGCTACAGCTGACACCAGAACTACAACTAACGCCACGACTTCTTCTACAGCTGACACCACAACTACAGCTAACGTTACAACCACTGCTACAGCTGAAACCACAACTACAGCTAACGCCACGACGTCTGCTACAGTTGCCACCAGTACTATAGCTAACGCCACGACGTCCCCTACAGCTCACACCAAAACTACAGCTAACGCCACGATGTCTCCTACAGCTGACACTAGTACTACGCCTAATGCCACGACGTCTCCTACAGCAGACTCCAGAACTACAGCTAACGCCGAGACTACTGCTACAGCTGACACCATAACTACAGCTAACGCCATGACTTCTCCAACTGCTGACACCACAACAACAGCTAACGCCATGACTTCTGCTACAGCTGACACTACAACTACAGCTAACGCCACGACGTCTCCAACTGCTGACACCACAACAGCTAACGCCATGACTTCTGCTACAGCTGACACTACAACTACAGCTAACTCCACGACTTCTCCAACTGCTGACACCGCAACTACTACTGCTACAGCTGACACCGCAACTACAGCTAACGCCACGACTACTGCTACAGCTGACACCACACCTAAAGCTAATACCACGAGGTCTCCTACAGCTGACACCACAACTACAGCTAACGCCACGACTACTGCTACAGCTGTCAATAGAACTACCGCTAATGCCACCACTTCTCCAACTGCTGACATCACAACTACAGCTAACGTTACGACTACTGCTACAGCTGACACCAGAACTACAGCTAACGCCACGACGCCTGCTACCGCTGACACCAGTGCTGCAACTAACGTCACGATTACTGCTACAGCTGACACCAGTACTACAGCTAACGCCACGACGCCTCCTAAAGCTGACACTAGAACTACAACTAACGCCACGACTTCTTCTACAGCTCACATTAGTACTACAGCTAACGCCACGACGCCTCCCACAGCTGACACCAGAACTACAACTAACGCCACGACTTCTTCTACAGCCCACATTAGTACTACAGCTAACGCCACGACGTCTCCTACAGCTGACACGAGTACTGCAGCTAATGCCACGACGTCTGCTACAGCTGAAAGCACGACTACAGCTGACGCCACGATGTCTCCTACTGCTGACACCACAACTACAGCTAACGTTACAACCACTGCTACAGCTAACGCCACGACGTCTGCTACAGTTGCCACCAGTACTACAGCTAACGCCACGACGTCCCCTACAGCTCACACCAAAACTACAGCTAACGCCACGATGTCTCCTACAGCTGACACTAGTACTACGCCTAATGCCACGGCGTCTCCTACAGCAGACACCAGAACTACAGCTAACGCCGAGACTACTGCTACAGCTGACACCACAACTACAGCTGACGCCGAGACTACTGCTACAGCTGGCACCACAACTACAGCTAACCCCGAGACTACTGCTACAGCTGACACCAGAAATACCAACATAACTGAAGTAACCAGAACAAACACAACGACTGACACCATTACAACTTCTGCTGAAGCCACGACAACGTCAACTACGGAGGACACCACAACGTCTTCCAAGGCTACAGATGACAAAACTACAACTATAGCCGGCGCCACCACAACTACGGCTTCAGCGAACACAACATCAACATCCGCACGACATATCTTCAGAAAGTGTGTGTGCAGATGTCGTAACCAAACTGCAGCACCCAGCAAAATTGACAAGGCAACAGAGAAAGCCAAAGAAATAAAAGAAAAATTAAATATTGATGAGAAATATTTAAACAAATACATTCTACAGAGAAAAAGCCTAGAAGACAAGCGACCCTCTCCCGTCGTGATAGGGGGGACGTTTGTTATCGTTGTAGCTATTCCTTTTGCAATGGCTGTTTTGAGTGATGCTGTCCAAGTAGTTAAATGGCTGTGTAAGGTAAAACCATGAAAAGGACAGTCCACGTGTGTGTTAAGATACTTGATTTGTTATTTAACACCACACTCAGCAATATTCCAGCTATATGGCGGCGGTTAGTATATAATGGAGTCTTGACCAGACAATCCAGTGATCAACAATATGAGCATCTATCTACGCAATTGGGATACGAAGAAATGCGTCAATCAAGTCAGCGAGCCTGACCACCCGATCCAGTTAGTCTCTTACGACAAGGCATAGGTTGCTGAAGACCAATTCTAACCCGGATCTTCACGGTGAACTGACAATATGTTTATATCGCAGAGACAACATGTGTCTTGTATTATCCCTGTAATTGACAAATATCTCATTCAATATCTGTTACAAACGTGTGTCCATGTATGAACAGCAAAACACAAATATTCATAAATTTGTTTCGCAAGGTGTAAGCATAATGGTAACGTCTAAATATATTCAATGATATTGAGGCACATATAATTTTACAACGCTAGAAATATATTTTTGAAATAGATATGATTACTTCTCGCATATTGTAATATAAATATATAACATACATTTATACACATGCCATAATGTGACTATATTATGTCTGTATGTTCGATAATGCGATATTTCCAATGCAATTGTTCTCCAGCTGTGTCTGTTTTACGCTGCTCTCTGGTAAACGGTTTATACAATTTCTCCAAGTGTTTCTTGTTTGTACACCTGTTGTAAATTTTTCATATCACTGCCAGCAGTGTCCAGTCATTGTATGTATTTCATATCACTGCCAGCAGTGTCCGGTCATTGTATGTATTTCATATCACTGCCAGCAGTGTCCGGTCATTGTATGTATTTCATATCACTGCCAGCTGTGTCCAGTCATTGTATGTATTTCATATCACTGCCAGCAGTGTCCGGTCATTGTATGTATTTCATATCACTGCCAGCTGTGTCCAGTCATTGTATGTATTTCATATCACTGCCAGCAGTGTCCGGTCATTGTGTGTATTTCATATCACTGCCAGCAGTGTCCGGTCATTGTATGTATTCCATATCACTGCCAGCAGTGTCCAGTCATTGTATGTATTTCATATCACTGCCAGCAGTGTCCGGTCATTGTATGTATTTCATATCACTGCCAGCAGTGTCCGGTCATTGTGTGTATTTCATATCACTGCCAGCAGTGTCCGGTCATTGTATGTATTCCATATCACTGCCAGCAGTGTCCAGTCATTGTATGTATTTCATATCACTGCCAGCAGTGTCCGGTCATTGTATGTATTTCATATCACTGCCAGCAGTGTCCAGTCATTGTATGTATTTCATATCACTGCCAGCAGTGTCCGGTCATTGTATGTATTTGATATCACTGCCAGCAGTGTCCGGTCATTGTATGTATTTGATATCACTGCCAGCCAGTCCGGTCAGTGTATGTATTTGATATCACTGCCAGTAGTGTCCGGTCATTGTATGTATTTGATATCACTGCCAGCAGTGTCCGGTCATTGTATGTATTTCATATCACCAGCAGTATGTATTTCATTGTATGTATTTCATCACTGCCAGCAGTGTCCGGTCATTGTATGTATTTCATATCACTGCCAGCAGTGTCCGGTCATTGTATGTATTTCATATCACTGCCAGCAGTGTCCAGTCATTGTATGTATTTGATATCACTGCCAGCAGTGTCCGGTCATTGTATGTATTCCATATCACTGCCAGCAGTGTCCAGTCATTGTATGTATTTCATATCACTGCCAGCAGTGTCCGGTCATTGTATGTATTTGATATCACTGCCAGCAGTGTCCGGTCATTGTATGTATTTCATATCACTGCCAGCAGTGTCCAGTCATTGTATGTATTTCATATCACTGCCAGCAGTGTCCGGTCATGGTATGTATGTCATATCACTGCAATCCGTGTCCGGTCATTGTATGTATGTCATATCACTGCCATCCGTGTCCGGTCATTGTGTGTATTTCATATCACTGCCAGCAGTGTCCGGTCATTGTATGTATGTCATATCACTGCCATCCGTGTCCGGTCATTGTGTGTATTTCATATCACTGCCAGCAGTGTCCGGTCATTGTATGTATTTGATTTCATTACTTACTGTCTCAGAATTTTGTCAGAACTGGTTGGAAATGGTTACCTCATTGCCAGTATGGCAGGAATAAATCACTCCCCTAGCTTTCATTCCAGATGACCCTATCCATGATGGGGCAGTGGGGCGGTGAGGTTAAAGCATTCGCTCGTCACACCGAAGACCCTTGTTAGATTCCCCACGTGGGCACAATGTGTGATAAACTGATAAACGCTTGTGTGAATTATTCTTGAACGAAATTCCTCCCCTCTCACGATCAAAACACTCACTAGTATTCCCCTTAGTATAAACTAGCCCTCCCGAAAAAATACAAAATGTACATGTTATTATTCGAATGATAAAATCCAACTCAAGATGGATACAAAACGCCACAGAAAACATCAACAGGGTTAAGGATGTGAGTGGTATTCATGTGTTGACGACTTATATTTTCCTCATATGAGATACACAGTTTTAGTTTTCAAAAATCTCCGCCCATAAATGGCGGAAAAAATGTCACAAGACAAGTTTGAATCGTTTATGTATTTTTCGGCATATCCATTTCGTCACGTATATAGTAAGTAAATTGAAATAAATTGAAGCAATATTAATATTCTTTAGAATTATGTGAAAAATAACTCACCAAAGATATTTGCATAAATACCTGCTTATATATAGTGATTATGGTTAAACGTACTCACTTCATGAATGTACATGGTAAAATCCCCAAACATGCTTTGGGGGCTAATTGCAAAGAATACAATGACATATATGATTGCTGGCAAGAAACAGTAACAAATCAAATGTATGGCAGTAAAACAAGATAAAACAGAGCACAGATTAAATAATCTTGGGTTAGTATTTTTAGATTTATGCGGGTTGCCATATCCATCTGGTACCACAGAGCCGTTCTGGTGACACGGAATCTTTATTGAGAATCCTTATTGAGAAAACTTATTGAGAATCCTTATCAAGTGCAACAGTTCCTACGTCCGAAGTTGTACATCCTGAGAACCTCATTAAATAGTATATATTAACATGGCATAAAAAATGTCCGGTCACTTTAGCAAAAACGACCTGACATTATTCGTGCCATGTTAATATATTCTTTTAATGAGTTATGTACAGTAAACTCTGGTTAAAACGAAGTCAAAGGGACGACTAACTTAGTTCGTTATAACCGCCGTTCATTATACGCACTTTCTCTAAAATACAGTACAACCAGAAATTATTGAGAATTTAAAGATTGTAATTTTTATATTTTTTTCACTCATTACTCACGTATTAAATGTTGATATTAGCAGAGCATAACTCCTGATTCAAAGACAAGTGAACAGTTAGTATTTTGTCAAGTCACCATGGGCAGCAATGCAGGCTTCAATGCGGCGGGGCATACTAGTGATCAAAGAAGTTAGAAAGTCGTGGTCCATGCTGTCCCAGTATCGGACCACCTCTTCTTTCATTTCAGCAATATTTGTCAGATTTTTCTTATTGACACTTTCCTTCATAAGTCCCCAAACATTTTCTATTGGATTTAGGTCAGGGCTATAGCTTGGTCAATCTAATAATGTCATATTTTGGGTCCGAAACCAGGCCTGTGAATGCTTTGAACGATGTTTTGGGTCGTTGTCCTGCTGGAAAATCCAAGCATTTCCATAGAACACGTGAGCAGATGGAAGTAAATGTCCCTCGAGAATATCTGTGTACCGATCACTGTTCACATTCCCTTCAAATACACAGAGGGGCGTTGCCCCTAACACAGATATGACACCCCACACGTTAAATTTCGGACTGTACTTTGGGCGCTGATACAAAGGTTTTTCAGTTTGTTTGGTCCAGAATTTCAGTGTATTAGGAAACAGCCACACAGAATTTTCATCTGATAAAATCACATTGTCCCAATTAAAATTTCTATGCTGTAAGCACCAGTTCAACCTTCGCTCCCTTTGTTCAGGTTTTATGATCGGTGATGGAATTCCTCGACCTTTCTGCCAACCCATTGCATGCAGCTCAGTTCTAATTGTCTCCTTACAGACAGCCACAGTTCCTCTATCAATCATATCCAGCCTTAAGTTTTCTAAACTCCTTCGTTTGTTTTTAGAAACAAAAATACCAATTAAGCCGCCTCCTGTCACCGACAGTCAATTTCTGGGCCTACTTGCGCCTCCCTTGTGCTCAATGCCATATCCATTTGCAATATTTTTCAAAACACGATAAACAGTGGAAAAAGGGATGCCTGTTCTACTTGAAATCACTTTAGCTGATCTGATGTCCTTGTTATAATACTCTAAAATCAACGTTCCTATTCTCTAAATCATCCATACTGACGATCACGTGTTCGTTACAAACGTAGTTTACTGGAACTCTATGTTCAAGAAAATGACATCTCCTTCCTGAAATTGTTAAATGCAATTGGTTTAAAGTACCATTATCAAGAAGTAGTGTATTTTAATGATGTTTCGATTTTCAGGGTATTATATCGTGTGGATATTGTGAATAACAGTTGTGACTATTATGTGACACTCGCCTCACAATGTAACTTATTTCACCAGCTTCCTATAGATGTTACAGCAGCATGACGACACGATGGTGTTGTTCGTGTTTAGTAATTAATATTTAAACTCCATTAATCGTGGTTGAATAAGCGACACATGCCCAATACTAACTGTTTTACCTAATGTTACGTGAAGAATAATGTGTCAGGTGTAGCTTGTCATCTGTTTATGAAAATGAACCCATGAAAATGCGGGTTAGAATTGGTCTTCAGTAACCCATGCTTGTCGTAAGAGGCGACTAACGGGATCGCGTGGTCAGGCTCGCTGACTTGGTTGACACATGTCATCGTATCCCAATTGCGTAGATCGATGCTCATGCTGTCGATCACTGGATAGTCTGGTCCAGACTCAATTATTTACAGACCTCCGCCATATAGCTGGAATATTGCTGAGTGCGGCGTTAAGCAACAAAAGAAAATAATGAATACGACGGGTTTGGTTTGTTTTGATTCTTTCTTTCGTTTCCAAACAAACGTTGTTTTATGAAGAAGACCAATGTATTCCATGATCATACAAAATCTCTTCTAAACACTTAGTACAATGTTCGTGTTTGTATATGTCATAAGCATTTTCTGCCTCAGGCCCACATACAGAGTATCCTCTTCACCAAAATCCCCATGGGTTAATGGGATATTTTCATATAAACAAACTTAAAACATAATCATGAGAACTACATCAAAGAAACTTTAGTTCCAATTCGATTGAAGATTGTGTTATCTTATTATAAAGTTGAATGTCGTATAGTGCTTGTAGTGCGTGTGATGTGTGTGTTTCTCTGTGTGTCTCTCTCTGGGAGAATGTGTCTTTCTGTATGTGTGTGTGTTTCTCTCTGTGTGTGTCTCTCTCTCTCTCTGTCTGTCTATCTGTATGTGTGTGCTGTGTGTACGTGTGTGTGTGTCTGTCTGTCTGTCTATCTCTCTGTCTGTATGTATGTGTGTGTGCCTGTGTGTGTGTGTGTGTGTGTGTCTGTCTGTCTGTCCATCTCTCTGTCTGTATGTATGTGTGTGTGCCTCTGTGTGTACGTGTGTAAAGTACACGATCCGTGTATAAAGTTGAATGTCGTATAGTGCTTGTAGTGTGATGTGTGTGTTTCTCTGTGTGTCTCTCATGAATGTGTCTTTCTGTATGTGTGTGTGTTTCTCTGTGTGTCTGTGTGTACGTGTCTCTGTCTGTGTGTATGTGTGTGCTGTGTGTACGTGTGTGTGTGTCTGTCTGTCTGTCTATCTCTCTGTCTGTATGTATGTATGTGTGTGCCTGTGTGTACGTGTGTGTACACGATCCGTGTTTCGGATCGGGATTTCACACTCACGGGTTCACATAGAATATTCACTGTAAGAATAACAAATACAATTGCTATGCACATCAACACATCAATAAACACAAAAAGAAGAACAGAACGCTCAGGCAAGGTGAAACGACATCAAGGGTACAAATTAAAACAGTTTAGAGAACATAGGATCCCGGGTCTTTTTAAGACAGTTGCAGATGAAGGTGAAGCAGCAATGGTGGATATCGATTATTGTATGAAGCATCAAGACATGTCAGCCACATGTAGGTGATATTGGTGGGCTGCTTCATTCAAATCGTATGAGTGCGTCGTCAGAAAGCCTTATTATACGCCTCTTCCATTATATGTGATCAGAGTGAGTGAGTATGGTTGTCGCCGCTTTTAGCAATATTCCAGCAACATCACAACGGGGGCCACTAAAAATCGGCTTCGCACATTGTAGTCATATGGGCAATCGAACCCGGGTGTTCGGCGTGACGAGCTAACGATGGAACCAATAGGCTACGGTACCGCCCCTATGTGTGATCAGAGAACACGAACACGTCTTAAGTCCATGTTTATCACTCTTTTAGTAATATCGTGATGTTTGGACAATATAAAAGGATTTTCACATTGTACATTCGGAAGGGAAAAGAATGTATGCAATGATTTTATGGCGTTTGTTCTGAAACCCTTTTCACACCAGTGATTGAGTGTAGTTATACGCCGCACTCAGCAATATTCCAGCTATATGGCGGCGGTCTGTAAATAATCGAGTCTGGACGACCAGACAATCCAGTGATCAACAGCAGGAGCATTGATGTACGCAAATTTGGATACGAAGACATGTGTCAACAATGTCAACGAGCGTGATCACCCGGTCCCGTTATTCCACCACTTACGACAAACATGGACTGGGGAAGATCCATTCTTTGTATGACACTAACGTAAGTAGGTACATTTCTACACGATTTCAATAGCTCATTGTCAAATTACATCCACCTACTGAATGTGTCAATCCAGTGTCTACGATAGGTGGTGAGTCTCGCTGACGTCGTGGATACATGCCAAAAATCCAGATTACACACATGGATTCTCATGATCCCAAACTCTTGCTTTCCTGGTTCAGGCTCGAACATCTCTGATGGCATATAGCTCATTGTCAAATTACATCCACCTACTAAATGTGGTCAATCCAGTGTCTACGATAGGTGGTGAGTCTTGCTGAAGTCGTGGATACATGCCAAAGAATCCAGATTACACACATGGATTCTCATGATCCCAAACTCTTGGTTGCCTGGCCCAGGCTCGAACATTTTCAGAAGACAATCATACAAACAGCAAAGAATGAATATTCACGTCTTTCTTTGAGACATATATGATAGGAGTTTTGTTTGTAAACAGCATCGGTTTCTAAGGCCCTCATAAGAGCAGTCAGTAGTTTGCATTATCAGATTTTGTTCCACTGCTTCATTCTGATATCACGAATCATCAACGTCATCAAAGTGATATGAAATATTCATATACAATGTCTTGGGACTCGTTGCAAGTTACTGGCTCTTGAAGCAAAATTATAAATGACTCCCTGGTTGTGTTCTGAAAACCGTTGAAAACCCACTTGAAAATCAATCATACCTAATGACAAAGAGAATGTCATCATAACCTATCATGCTTACAAGATTTCTGAATAAATTGCAAAATTGGTAAATGAACCATGTACGTATGTAAATGTCTTTGTTAACATTCCTATTTGAAAATAACTAACTTGTATGAATGAATACAACAAACGTTCAAGTGTCATCAAATGATAATCACAGGCAGTCAAATACCAGTTATGAAAACAAGTCCAGGGTAACCGGAACCTGACAAGGGGACGTAACTCTGCACAACGCGGTGTCTGAGATCACAAAGTCGCCTATTTCCTCGAGGGAATCACTCACTGAACACAAACATAATTCTGTAATACAATACATATCTGTTTCAAATGCTTCATTTCTAGTGAATATTATACAATGATTTCACACTGGGTGTGAATATAAATGAGCATTACTACTGACAAAGAAGACATATTTCATCTTTTTCATTAGATTCAGAGACCGCGAAGAGGCATCGATTCGTATAACATAGAAATATGGAAGTCAATTCGAAATTTCTGTAATGAGCGTTTGTTGCAGTAACTCCCTAAGTATTTCGACCAATCAGATGTCATTTCAAAGCATCGGATGAGCATGCATTGTGACCAGTGTATCTTCTCATTTAGACTTGATCATAAAGGATCGACATCGGGTGCATCTTAAGGTCTCACTGAAACGAGTGAATATATTTTCTCATACCGACTCCGACAGACCTTTTGACGATAGTTCTTTTTAATAATATACATGACACTGGGCAACTGAATCGTGTGTGACCTCTGCAAATCTGCAAAGGTTTTGAGAATGGTGTCAAGCAGTTTTACCGTAAAACGTAACGACATGAAGATACTGTTGTTGTCCTTGCTATCGGTGATCCCGTCGATCCTAGGTAAGTAACACCAAGTTGTCATGTTCATATAAACAATAACATTTAAACATGTTTCAATACTATCTATGAAATCTTAGGGGCATTTTAGAATCCATATTACCCATGGGGATATCAACTCCTGTATTATTGCATTTCTACTCACACTTTGCTAAGGGTCACAAAAGTCGCAACTTAAACGTAGATTTAAAATTTGAAATTGTATCCATGTAAAACTGGATAAATAATGATATGGTAACTCCTCTTTAGGCAAACAAGCACTTTACTCTAACCTTATGCACTTGATACACGAGTAACCATAAACATGGTTTTGATTACACCAAACAACCATTTTGCAAATCATGGAATGAGTCATTTACAAGTACACAACACCTGTCAATAGCAGGTATGGGATCCAAAGGATGCAGTGACATACTGAAACCTGGGATCCATGCTTACAATAAGCTTAGGCCAAATTTGACCCCACATAATAGTTTTCTGTTGAATCAATGATTTAATCCTTAGCAAAGTGTGAATAGTATATAGATACCAGTGCCTTTATTTCGTTGGTTGGGTGAGTCTTAATGGTCACATTTACCAGTAGTCCATATGTAGGAAGGTGGCAGGTGAATCAACGAGACAAGACAAGTGGTCGATATGATGATCACGAATCCATGCCGGTATGAGGATGCAAAATGAACTAAGTTGTGACTCTAGCCTTACAGTAAAAGCGACAAAGCAGATTCGGGGTAATAGAATCGGTACACGATGCAGAGTTGATTTGGCTGTACCATGAGCTTTCGCTGAGTTGGCAGGGCGTTGTGAAATTTCTCTGAGCGCTTTGGCATCGGAGGACAATTCTGAAAAAAAATCGTTTCACTTTTATGCTACCCATCAAAAGTTTAGACTCACTTGAAGATCTCACTATATGTTATGCATAGTGGTTATGTATATGTAGTTACATCGAAGATGAATTTCTCCACTAACTTTCGGGAACCAACTGCAAACCTTATGCAGATGAATTGCATGAGGATCATGCATCAAATTGCTGAAATGCATGTGCAAATACCGTGCATGTGAACAGCTGCGTTTTGGTGTAAAGTTTGGTAAAGAATTCTCCAGTTTTTACTGAGTTTCATCATTTATTGAACTCATGACAATAATCTTTTCAACATTACGTATTTGTTTTACAATACATTAGTTCATATGTAAACAGTACCTTTAAACAGTATGGCATATTTTGCAAATGCTAGTTTAGAACAGTTGACTGAAGTAAGTGGCTACATTTACACTAGTGAGTCTAAACTTTTGAGGGGTAGTGTATATTTGAAATTTGGCGTCTTTACGGCGAATGAGGGATTTCTGCGATGCGCCCGTGGTGTGCTAACGCGTTCGCACGGAGTTCTAGCTGGCGATTGACTCACAGAGTGCTCACGGCGTGCTAGAGTTGTCACTGTGCGTCCACCGCACGTACACTGTGCTGACAACGTTCGTATTGCGTGCGCGAAGTGTATACAAACACCATCATCAGTTGCTATTTCCCTCGTAAAAAACATCATGGCCGGCAAAGACAAGAATGCATTTGTACCATATTTATGGGGTTGGCTCACAACGCAATGGCAACGTCATGCAAACGTTAATGGATGCGGTAGAATCGCCGTGGAAGCGCAATATTCGACGTGGCAGCTCCGTGTAGTCGCTGTAAGAGCGCAGTAAAATAAATAACGCACTGTGTAAGCGCCGTAGGTCTACGCGCCATAAGAACGGGGTACAGACGCAGTGATATCACTAAGGACTCTGTGAGTGCCATCGGCTACCACTGCGTTCGTGCTGCGGTCATGTGCGTCCTTGCTGCGCGCCCCGCAGCTCCTCTCGCGCTGTGGGAGACCTTACTACCGTGATCCTACGGCGTTTCCGCTGTGAGCATGTCAGAACGCAGAGCAACGGCGCGTACTTTGTGCATGACCAAAGAGCGCACAGTCGCAGCCCTGGTGTGACAGCTGTTTTATGAATCACTCTAATGAAGCAATGAAATAACAGGGGTGCCAGTGCCCGTCACAAACACACGCAACGACAGGTCAAATATTAATATGAAAAAGTCAAAATAGAAGGTTGCGTTGGACATAATTTTTGTCACGGCCGACTCACATTTACAAGTGCCCTCCACACACTATACAAATCTGAAGGTTTTACTAAAACTTTGAATACTGCAACCTTTAAGAAATAACTTCTGCGTAGTAGTCGTATTGCAATCTTTGACACGTTGTAGCAATAGCTTAATTATATTAAATATACCACGATCTTTAGCCAAACGCCTTGTCTTGAATCTTCCTAGACATGGAAAAGAATGAACGAGTGAGTTTAATTTTACGCCCCATTTAGCAATATTCTAGCAATATCAAGGGGGGGGTGCACAAATGGGTTTCACACATTGTACCCATGTGGGGAATCGAACTCGGGTCTTCGGCGTGACGAGGGAACGCTTTAACCACTGGGCTACCCCATCGCCTCATGGGAAAGATCATGTTATCTCACTATATGGATTTAATGAACATTGTCTTGAAGTACTGGTTCAACAGGATATCTGAAATAAATACGATGTCACCATAAGATATTGTTGGCAAGAGTCAGGACAAGTCATAGTATATTTGAACAGATCGTAACTAGTGATATATATCTACATGTGTATATGCGTTTTCAGCGATGTCAAACTCGTCGGTTGTAGTCAACGGGATCGTGTTCACAGTTCAGGCAGATAATAAAACGCGTCCCGAAGCCCGGAGAATTTGTAAAAGCAAAACAGCACGGTTGCCACTGTACATGTCAACTGAAATTCAGAGCAAAGTCGTGCAGGAGTTGGGTAAGTCATTTTATCAACAAGTCATCAAATTACTTTAATTCTTCTAGATGTGTTTCAGCATGGTCCTGGCAGTTGTGTACTTTTAAGAATTTCTGATGATTATTTGTAATTGAAAGGTGATAATATTCATGACAAATTCTTCAGAGAGTTTCACGACATGAAGGGCAGTATTTCCAAAATCTAACCATAATATGAAATAAACGAGGTCCAAATGACCAATGTTTGAAATGTGTGTATGAACTGGCCGCCAAGTCATTTGTCACGCAGGTGATGAAATAAAATAACACTTGGGAACTATGAACAAATATGACAGGGGTGTGTAAGTGTGATCACCATTTCCGTATATACTCAGCAACAAAAGTTCTTGTAACACATACATGTTTGGATAAATTTGATCAAGTTTAACCCAAACCATAAAAAGCAAGCCCCCAATACGATAACAGAGAGTACAACCCAATACGATAACAGAGAGTACAAACGCACATTTGAAGTGAATGTTTGATAACCAGAAATTGACATTTCACTTGCAATTTCGCGAAAAACGAGTACGTCTGTGGGTATTTAAATATGAGTTGCTGATAGATTTTTTCATTGTGGATAAAGACATGTTCACTGGGTGTTACCTGAAAACATTGAATTTCGAACCACAAGTATAGTCTGTTGCAATGAAAACGCACCGATGAATTTCACTTTAAACAAAAGAATAAAGTCAATACAGTGAAATTAAGATTGCGAATCCTCATAGATTTACGTTGCCGATTGAAAATGTAAGTCTCAGAATTTTATTCAAATTTGGATAAAAGTTGTTTAACAAACGATCATAGATTCAAATCGTTATAATTGGTTTGTATTACAATGGGGGTAAGCGCAGTAGTTGGAACAATGAAACAAAAGCACGTGCGGTACGTGATAAGCGTTAACTGAGACCAAACCTGCTTGTTCTCGGTGTTTCATTTAATGTGTATACCCCCTTTTAATACAAACAAATAAAGCGATTTGAAACTATGATCGTTTCTTAAACAACTGTCATCCTGAGTTCAATACAATTCTGAGATTTAAATGTTCAACTGGCAAGGTAAAATTATGAGGATTCGCAGTCTTAATTTCACTTTATTCGATTTACTTTTTTGTTTGACGTGAAATTCATCGGTACGTTTTCACTGCAAACAGACTATAAACTTTTTGGTGTCAAGGCTTTGTGAAAATGAACAGTGGCGGACACTTGGAATGCTCCAAGTCGGAACCGAACAACGGAAAGTTGCTCGTCGATTTAACGTCCATGGGAACTTGTGGAATCGGCATCAGCTAACCGACGTCAGAGACCGTCTCCGCAGTGGCCAACCACCAGTAACGACTCAACGACAACTGGATCAGATTAGTGTGTGAGCTGTGATTTTATCCCGACAACATTCACATGGCCTTCTTACCGTTTACAAACCTGTCTAATCCAAGATTATGATCAACATTCACAAGCCACATGTCAGTTCTATACATTAATTATATTTGTTTTGCATTTGGTTTCTAATTTTTTTCTTCTATATAACTTTGAATTGCCTCAAAAGAACTTTCGTTGTTGAGTATATTTATAACATCTGACATAATTGTAAATTTCATTGCTGACACGGGTACCCTTGAAATACCCTTGAAATCATGCATGAACAAAGTACAGATTTACCTTATAATTTATTCTCTATAAAAAACTCGTTCATTGATATTAGGATTCTCACCATGTTAACATTTATTTCAATGGCTAGGAAATACATGTACAACTGCATTATGTAGCAACAATGGCTCGTTATCAAGGGAGTGAGGAAATAGGTAACATATAGCGAGGGGATTCGCCTAACGTTCCCGTGTAGGTTGTTAACCCAGACGCACTTTATTGAACTGATATCAGGTTTAACATTGATTAGTGATTTGATACAAAGAATGCTAACGTGTAGACTACTCACTCGTTTATGCCCATGGAGGTATATCTAAAGCCATTTTCAAAATAACCTAATGGCTGTACAGTTGCATTATGTAAACAGGAGTTGGCGGTCAGAAGTGTTTTGTTTGTGAAAGATACCCCCAGTTTGTAGAGAGCTAAGGGAAACAATGATTCAACTGCATTAAGTTCAAAGATCCTGGTCACACTGACTCGTCCTTTTCTTTCTGTAAAACTTAGGCGGAACCTTAACGGAGTAGTCCAGAATGTCTCAGTACTTGTTAAAAAATGTGTCACAGTATTGGTCGAAGGATGTGCATATATATATCTACTCAAACGTTTAGCAGAATATTTCAACGTAATGAATTTGGATAGTTCATTTCCTTAGCTCTTTATTAAATGGGAGCATTTTTATAAACAAATATTTCAATGCTTCTGACCTCTAACTACTGTTTAAAACAAACAAACATTTAGGTTCCGAGGTGTATAGTCTAACCGAAATTCCCATTTGAAATAAAGTGTATTAGTACATTTTTCGGTTCATTCTTTTGAAGGAGATAACTTTTATCACCAACTTCCAGGTGATCACTGGATAGCTTTGAAGAGAAACGGAAGTAACACCCCCTGGAAATGGCGTATACCTAGTCTGACTGCTGAAGTACCAGGCAGATGGAAGTGTTATGGAGATGGCTTTAGGGCCATAACTGACAGTCAAACACATTGGATGCTAGTCAGCAGTTCGTCTTCACATCGTGTTGTGTGCGAAGGAGGATCTGAGGAAGGTAAGAAACATAGGATTAGTCTAAAATTACATGTCATGTCAGTAGCATAGACAATGATGGTAGGGAACCAGGCCCCTCCCAAGGGCTCAATTTAACAAATTGAGCCCTTGGGAAGGCCCTAATCCCGTACCATCATTGTCTATACTAGTACTGAGTTGCATGCAAAATCTGACGAAAATCGGTCCAATAGTTTCTGAAATATTGACTTTTAAGTGAGCATGGGGGAAACACCAATGCCTTTGATTCACACACACACACAATGATGACAATTATCATACAGTGGGCGATCGAAATGGGACTGTGTCGTGAGGTACGATCATCAACTCCTCTCTGACGAATGCTCTCGGCGGCCTGTCTTTCAAGTAGTACAAGTTCGGTTCGCCGTCTTTGATGTCGACCAGGTCTACGTTGTACGTTTTCATGGACCATATCGGATCGTTGGCTCATTTTCCGCTGTCTCCCTTGTATTCTCCCGGCTGGTACAAGTACCTAACGCTGACCCGGTCAAGTAATGTTTTCTGTTTCATCGCGACGTGCCGCTGACGACGATGATTCGACAGATTTCATTTTGATGGCTTCGACGGGTCTCTTGCCCACGAGTCTGGTGACTTCGTTGTTGATGGCATCCACCACTTGAGGTGTTTCTGTTTTGGGGATCCATTAAATCCCACGAGTACTGGTGCGATTGAATCTCTCGACTATGGCTTGGCTACGGTGAGCTCCCACTATACCTCGTCTCACTTGGACTTTGTGCTTGGCCAGCAGCTGCGACACGGCTCCCATGAACTCGCGTCCGGGATCGACTTGCAATACGGTAGGCCAGGTCAAACGACTGTGTTTGTAGATGCGTTCAAAGGCTTTCGCGACTTCGTTCGAATCTTTCGTTGTCAACTGTTCGGCTTCCTTGTAGCGACTGGCGACGTCGACAATGGTCAGTACTTGTAGGTTTTGCGTCTCACCCTGTCGTGAGAGAGAAACAGGAGGTCGGCTTGGTGAACGCGATTCGGCGTTGAAATGTCAAATTTTCTTTTCGGGATGTACCAAGGCGCCGGCAGGTAGACTTGCCAGATGGCTTGTTTTTTAAGCCAAGCTTTGGCGACGTCTTCCGAGACTCGAGTGCCTTTGGCGAGTTTCGGGATGGCGTCCGCACCTTTCCAGTACCCGCACGGGCTGTAATAAATTTTCTCCATGATGTTTGTACGTAAGTGTGTGAGCGTTCAGTTTATTCGATACGCATTTGTGCCCGTACGCATAAGTGGTGACTCCATCGATGGCAATCCATTGTTTCGTGTCCATGGGAGACAGCGAGGTCTTGTTGATTCTCAGTCCATATATCCTGTGTCCGTCGCTTCTCAGCATGTTCATTTGGTGTTTGACCATTTAATTCTTGAACAGGGCTTCCTTGAATCTGGCGTGCTTGATGTGTTTTTTCACACGTGTTTTTTCACGGCTTTCGCCTTTCGGATTTCGTTGTCGTCGGCTTTCTTGATGGAATACATCTTGGGTCTCAAGCCGATGGACTCGGCGATCGGCGTGCCCGCGCATTCATCCTTCATCTTGCTGAGCACTTTTTTGTTGACTTGGCTGTGCATAGGGTGATCTTTAGGGTAGTCGCTGTTGTCGTACAGGTGCATGCGTTTCTTAATGTCCTCGTACACGTCCTCGGTGTGAATTTCAATGAGCAGGGAATCTGTGTCCATGTACAGCACTTCGCACCTATCGCCGTACTGCTTTTCCAGCTCGTTGTAGTAGAAATCGTACGTCAAGTGTTTGGATAAGTCGACGATGTTCATCCCCATCTAAACTGGCCGATTGAATTTGATGTGGCTTTGGTTCATGTACAGCGCCGCCAAGTTGTCATCGAATATTTTGCTTCCGTTGAACGCTGGGCTGGCTATGAGTTTCCTGAGTTTTTCTTCCTCGCTGGATCTGACTAGTTTCATTTTTCTCAAATTCTCCATCGTCTTGCCGAACACCGAGTTGTTCATGAGTTTGTACAAGTTTTTCTCGAAATCGCTGGTGGGGAGATACTGATTCATGGCCCAGCTGTACAGGTTGTTGGCGTCGAGATAGAGTATGTGTTTGGTCGGTTTGCCGGGGTCGTGACTGTGAACGTACTTGTTGTTGGCTTTGGTGTATCGTTTGGAGGCCATGGAAATCCACGAACAAGTGCATGTCGCAATCCGTTAACAATTCCAATTTAACTCTAGTCTTTTTCAACAAGGCGTCCCAAGAGAGACCGGGGGATGAGAAATACCACGTGGGGTCCAGGCCACGTTTCGAGCACGTTTTTCTGAATATCTGGAACACGTCGGCCAGCAGCAACACGTGCGTTTTCAAGTACAGGCCGTGGTAATCGCCTAAATTCTTGCAGCCCAGTTTGTCCCACACGTTTATCACGTGTGCGTAATCGTCCGGGGTGATGGCCGAGTCGGTCAAGTTGCTGTAAAATTGGTTGATGGGGATAATCGTGTCTTGTCGAACTTGGACCAACAGCAGGAACTGAACGCTATCGATAAATCTCAGACCGAGAACAAGAAGTATGTTTCCATGTTGTTGGGGATGCACGTTATGTTGCCGACGACCTTCGCGATGGCCTGCATGATCAGGTGAGAATCGTACCCGTGAAGGTTGTGAAACACGACAGGGATTTTTATGGTTTTGGGGTCGATTTTGAGTTGCACGCGTTGTAAGCGGCGCTTCTGTACTTGCTGATGATGTGGCAGTGGTCTCTCACGGAATCCCCGCACAGGCGTTCGTCGCACACTTGGCAATTCTTATCCTTCTTGTGAGTGAGTTTATCCTTAACTCTTTCCTGATTTTTTTCTCTTCGTGTTGTAAGAACGTGAGAAATGTTCTGACTGCGTCGGGACCTCGGTAGACCACAGGAGTGTCCGTCGCACATAACACGACCACGTAACCGAACCCTCAGGCTTCGCGCTCTTGCGTTTTGTGCGTCAACTTTTGTCCGGGGACGACAGAGCGACGGTGTCGACGTTTTTGATGAGGGCTTCAAAGTGGGCGTAGGTGATGTAAGGCACGGACATTTGATGCATGTGGTTGATGAATTTCAAGACGTTGTCGTTTTCGTCGGGCATGTCGATTCAGACAGCCGTCTGTCCCACGCCTCGGCAATCCTCCCGGTGCGATTCCAGCAGGTCGGCTCTCATGTAGCCATGCAGACACCATTCGCAAAAGTGTTTTTTCCTGGCGTGCTTCGATTGATCTTACAACAGTCTCCAGAAACTTTTAATCGTTGCGTAGTGATACTTGTCCTTTTTTTCGATCAAAAATACCTTTGTCCTTCGAACAGTTTTATCTAGGACGGGGTTATCCTGTGCTCAATAGTTGTGTTCCCTTCGTGTCCAAACACGTTAATAGCCAGATCGTTTTGTTTTTCCACTCGAGCGATTTGTGAGATGGGAGTAGGCATGTCTATCCCCGTAAAGTCGAGGCCGGATTCCTCGATGGATTCCTCGGAAAGTCTGTCTGTATGATGGGTAGCTGGATGCAAGTCGGCTATGATCGCCACCGGTAAACAGTCATCGCCTTTGTTTTTTACGTTTACCATGGCTTGTTTTTTCTTGTTGTACGGTGGCAGATCCAGGTACGAGCCTCCTTTCAACGGCACGTAGTTTGCTATGTCCAGGTAGACCATGTTGATTGTGTCCACGACCCAGCCGAGCCCATGTGCGTAAAGCGTTCCAGGGATTCTCGTTTTTTTGCAAACGAGGTGTCCATGGACACGTCGACAGATTCGGGTTGAGTCGCAACTTCTTGCTTGCCTCTGAAGTAAGGCTGGATGTGATGGTGGTGCCATCTGCTGTTTTTCCAGCGACATTTCCTCTTTGAGTGGAAATTTGAGGCTTCCCAGATCGTTCAGTTCCTCGTTGACTTTGTTGGTAATCATGGGTTTGTAACGACGTAAAATGTTTTTTGTCAACGCCCATCCGCCAGCCTCTCAGATACTTACCTATGGCGTGCTTCGTCCGCATGAACCGTAGTTCGATGGGTTTGTGTTCCTCCAGCAGTTCGAGGAGCTCGGCTTTCCTCATGCGCGAATAACCTCTGAGTCCCTGTTCTTTCGCTCGGAGCTTGAGTTGTTTCACCGTGGGTTCGTCGACGTTGCCCACAGCTGAGATTTCCTCAAACGGGAGTAACCGTTAACTCCACGTTTTTTGGCAATCCTTTTCAGTTCACGAACGGTAATATCAATGTGTGAAAACCTTTTTCTAAATGAAATATAATTATATTCAGATGCGAAATCAAATCTCTAATAGCTTGTTCGCTATAGTCAGGGGTGAAGTCTAATCTCTAATAGGATTTTAATTGCTATGTTCGGCTGCGAGTCAAAATCTCTAGTAGTTTGTTGGTGTGGTCTCGCTGTTAAATGTTAAACTTTCAACATGCACATTAGATTTTTATTCTAAACAGTCGGTTGCGTTCGTTGAGGTAGTCTCTTTTCGTCAAGTAGATGAGATGGCTTCGTACCACGTCTGCTCCATGGGCTTTGCAACGACGATAATGACATTTCACACCCACGCCGCACAGTTCGCACGTGTAATTCACGAAACCCTTTCGTATGTACATCATGTGTATGCCGCAATATTTGGTGCATTTTTTGCTGCAGGTTTCGGTTTTTCCTAGCAGAACGTACTTGCAGTTATATGGTGCACGTCTTCCCATCTTTATGTATATACACATAAATATATTTTTAGTCTAATTGTTTAGCAATCAACACACGGTCGCCGCTAGACCCAACGCCTGCGAGAGGGTAGGGGGTACGTCGCCGAGAGGTTCGAGTCGTTTGCCGGTGAGCAGGTAGTATTCTCGCATGGCTTCGTCGACGTCCATGAACGTTTGAACGGCGTTGTTTTCGAGCGAGAGTTGGTCGTTTATGAACTGTATTCTCTGCACGTGTTTTTTGGGCGTACTTGACTTGAGCGGTTTGCAGTTTCTCCAAGGCCAAATCATGACGTTTACGTTCCACTTCCACTTCG